CGCCGGGGACCTTTGAGGCCAGCGGGCCCCGCCGCAGCTCGCGATCGTTCATCTGGCCCAGAGCCGCGGCTTCCATCCGCAAAGGAGACAAAACAGGCCTTTTGCAAATAGTATAGGAGACAAAACGTATACGTTCCCTGGGGGCCCGTGGATAGTCGTTTAGGTATGAGGTACGCATTTCCCGGAGGATAACATAGCAGCAGCGAGAAACAATTTGTTGCGCACCCTTATGTACCCATTTCCGCTCTAGAACCGTGTGGGCACCGACAATGACACAACAGGTCGTTCCAAATAACACAGGGGATGAAATTGATACACCCATCACGTTGCGTAAAGACCACAGTTTGGCAATGAAACTGATGGCTAGTGCCTTCTTATTAACCTATTACTTTCCAGACCCGTCTTTTAACATGCATAAGGACCTAGTACCTTTGGCTTTGAAGTCGCAATAATAAAACACAGTGGCTAAGTCTAGTGATAGAAATGTAGCCGTGTTAGTCTGGGGTAGCTGAAGCAAAATGCAGGACAATGTAGCACTTTAAAGACTAACAAGATGGTTTATTAGATGATGCGCTTTCGTGGGCCAGACCCACTTCCTCAGATCAAATAGTGGAAGAAAATAGTCAAAACCATATATACCAAAGGATACAATTTAAAAAAATGAACAAATATGAAAAGGACAAATCACATTGCAGAACAGAAGGGAGATGCGGGGTGGGGGAGGGGGAGGAAGGAAGGTAAGTGTCTGTGAATTGATGATATTAGAGGTAGGGAGAGTGGGATGTTTGTGAGTTAATGGTATTAGAGGTGGAGCTGTCTACACTGGCCCTTTTGCGCAAAAGTTTTGCGCAAAAGGACTTTTGCCTGAATGGGAGCAGCATAGTATTTCCACAAGAAGCACTGATTTAAGACAGTAGGAAGTCAGTGCTTTTGTGGAAATTCAAGCAGCCAGTATAGACAGCTGGCAAGTTTTTCCGGAAAAGCAGCTGATTTTCCGGAAAAACTGGCCAGTCTAGACACAGCCAGTTATTTTTGTAAACCTGTAACTGCTGACATTTTCAGAGATTGCAGGCAGGAGCTGGTTCTCGCAGGGAGCTGACTTTTAAGCTGGCTCCCCGCGTACCACCTCTTCCCCATCCACCCCTCATTGCTGCCTCCATATCAGAGGCAGCATTGTGTGCCAGGGGGCAGGCAGCTCTGCAGGAGTCCGCTCCCCACAAACACCAGCTCCAGCCCCCTCACTGCTACTGGTGTGGAATCGGGGAGGCTGCATTTAACCATGAGGGTTAACCGATGAGCCCAGGCAGGTTTTGTAGTTTCAAATGGGGGCAGAGTTAAGGATAGAATTGCTTATGTTAAGGTGAGTGTCCCACCTTATTTAAAGGGACTTAGACGTTAGAGCATCAGAATGTTGGACATAAGGGATCGGCCGACAAAGGCTTTCTTTGTCGCCCGATCCCCGTCTTGACAGCCGCTTTTTGCCGACAAACTGCCGACTCAGCAAAACGCAGCGGCCATTTTTATTCAAATAAAGTGCAGGAGATTTAAATCCCCGGTTCATTTGCGATGTCGGTATGTCTAATTTACATCCCTCTGGTGCCAGAGGGATGTAGTCTAGACATACCCTTAGAGACTAACGAAAATATATATAGGATGAGCTTTTGTGAGCAAAGCCCACTTCAGATGAGTTTGAATGGAGACGAAAAGGGGAGCCCTCACTATATATAACAGAAAAAAGGAGGAGGGAAACAAAGGTACTTGTCAGTTGCAGTGCGGGTGCTAATGAGGCTAATCAGGTGGGCTCGAAGTGCCCCGTTCTTCGCTTTTGAGGTCACTTGGCCGTTGAACATAAGGAAAGCTGAACTGGCTAGCCCCTTATAAAACCTACTTTACTTCTGCAGTCTGTGGGCCAGAGCGTAAAAGCGAATGGGTCTGTAGTCCAGGGGTTGGGGTAGCCACCTAGAAAGTGGGAGATGCAAAATGCCGTTCTCCCAGCTCCATTGGCCATTTAGTTCTTTGCTCAGCAGTGATGGGCTTGATGCAGGGACCCCTGGGTGTCATTTTCTGGCCCGTGCCTTGCAGTGGGTCAGAAAAGCAGGCTTGTAAGTGCCCGTCTTGACAGCCGCTTTTTGCCGACAAACTGCCGACTCAGCAAAACGCAGCGGCCATTTTTATTCAAATAAAGTGCAGGAGATTTAAATCCCCGGTTCATTTGCGATGTCGGTATGTCTAATTTACATCCCTCTGGTGCCAGAGGGATGTAGTCTAGACATACCCTTAGAGACTAACGAAAATATATATAGGATGAGCTTTTGTGAGCAAAGCCCACTTCAGATGAGTTTGAATGGAGACGAAAAGGGGAGCCCTCACTATATATAACAGAAAAAAGGAGGAGGGAAACAAAGGTACTTGTCAGTTGCAGTGCGGGTGCTAATGAGGCTAATCAGGTGGGCTCGAAGTGCCCCGTTCTTCGCTTTTGAGGTCACTTGGCCGTTGAACATAAGGAAAGCTGAACTGGCTAGCCCCTTATAAAACCTACTTTACTTCTGCAGTCTGTGGGCCAGAGCGTAAAAGCGAATGGGTCTGTAGTCCAGGGGTTGGGGTAGCCACCTAGAAAGTGGGAGATGCAAAATGCCGTTCTCCCAGCTCCATTGGCCATTTAGTTCTTTGCTCAGCAGTGATGGGCTTGATGCAGGGACCCCTGGGTGTCATTTTCTGGCCCGTGCCTTGCAGTGGGTCAGAAAAGCAGGCTTGTAAGTGACTAGTTGACGATCTGATAAGCATAAGCTTATTGGATAATCGAGTGGTCCCTTGACTAGTTGTTTCCTCTCCCCAGGGTGGGGGAGCAGGAGTTGGTGCTGGTGAGCCATTTTTATTCAAATAAAGTGCAGGAGATTTAAATCCCCGGCCCCCAGCACTGTCTCTATGGGGGGCAGTGGAGGCAGAAGGGTAGCAGGGGCCAGGCGTGAGCTGATTCCTGGCTTACGCCCAGTCCCAAACACTGCGCCTCTGCTTTTAAAATGTATTAAGAGCCACTCGCTCTTAATACATTTGAAAGGCTGGTGTGCAGCGGTGGGAGGGGGACCCTAGGGTGAGCTGAGAATCAGCTGTCCTGGTACACGCCAGGTCCCCCCCATGCTGTGGTTCAGCCTTTTAAATGTATTAAGAGCCTGCTGGTCCGGGGGGCAAATTGGGACAACTCATTCCCAGCTCATGCTGGGTCTTTCCTCCCCCCGCTGCTGCACAACTGCTTTTTAAATGTATTAAGAGCCAGCGCAGTGTCCGGGGCCAGGAACCAACCCCACTGCAGCTCCACAGTTTCTCCCACTTATTGACTACTTGATGGAAATTCCATCGACTACTCGATTAGCTGATTAAACTCAATTTAACATCCCTGCAGGAAAGATGATCACATTGGCCCCTTCTAGCCCTTACGATGTGAATCTATGAATGTACATTCAAATCTAATGGACTTTGCCCAAAGTAGACTTGCGAATCTTGCTGATAGTTATGGGCCTGTCTGTCTGGTTTGTACACCGAAGGCAAGAGAAGTGTCCGAGACAGCGAGTCGTGTCTGAATTTGAGGAGCTGTGTCTAAATGAGGAAAAGAAAGGCCGTCGGCAGAGACTGGAGGAGGAGGAGAGGGAGACTGGGGACAAACTAAATGAACATGTCATCTAACACGCTCGGCAGCAACTGAGCACAAAGATGGAGGAGAGGTCTCAGCAAGTGGCCCTTGAGCTATACGTAGGTGAGCTATACGTAGGTCCCCTGGAGTTTCGATTTTCCCCACCCCAGGGAAACAAGCAGGTGGTGGTGTTGTCCGCACTATCAGCTGCTAGCACCCTAGCCTGAGCACGCTTGTGGCATTCAGAGCAGTGCACGGTGGGAAGCTATCTCCTTGACGCCCCTCCCTGTGAGTGCCAGGCCCAGCTGGGTGGGGACTTTCCTGGACTGTGAGGCGGGCGAGGTCTTGTTTACTATGTGACGGACAGGTCCCCTCTTTCCATGTTTTAGCCACAACAGGGGAGGAGAGTGGGTCATTGAGTGAGGGGGGCATTTCCTGCCCTGGGAGAGTCTCCACCCATGGAGGGCACACGGAACGGCCACGGGGGCAGTGTGGGGGCACACGACATACTGCTGTGCTGTCACACACCATGTGCAACACAAAGCAACCTGCACGCAGCAGTGGCCTGGGCTCACTTACAAATCTGATGGTGGAGGGGCTCCCTGGCGCCCGTGGTGGGCAGGCCCCTTGAGGAATGAGCACAGGAAGCCCATGCAGGCTTGTATGTCTGTGTTCCTCGTTACGCTCCAGGCACATCACGGCAGAGCAGCAGTAGCGGGAAGCCCCCTTCCAGCTCCCTGGCACGGCCTTTTATGCTGCTGTTTCCTTCTCGCAGCTACCCAGCAGGGGTGAGCGAGTGACTGCCCCAGGCTCCCTACGGGTGCCAGTAATCCCCTCTGCCCTGCCAGACCCAAGCTACTCAGTTAACTGCCCTTAACTGCCCCAGAGGAAGCCAGTTTGTGGCTGCTAACGGCCCTTTGCACCTCCACGCTTGTGTTGGGGGCTCTGGCGTGAGAACAGCGAGGCGTCCTCCTGGCATGGTGAAGACCCACACGTGTATTGGGGTGTGAGCGCTTGGGGCCAGCAGCTTGCTTTGTCAGTGGCATGAGGTGGAAACTTCCGTTTGGTAGGGTAAATGCACATGCAAAGGGTATGTCTAGACTACATTGTTTTTTAAAAAAAACCTGCCGTTTTTTCGAAAAAACTTTACCTGCATCCACACTGCAGTCACATTTTTTCAAAATTAAATCGAAAGCACACGGGGTTTTTTTTTACATTGATAAACCTCAAATTACAAGGAAGAGCACCTTTTTCGAAAGAAGAGGCCATTCTGTAAATTACCATCAGGGCTTTTTTTCCGAGAGCTCGTCCATGCAGCTTGGATTCTCTCTTTCGAAAAAGCAGATGGCTTTTTCCATCCACTTTTGAGGTCTGGCCGCTCTCTTTCAAAAGAAGCTTTTTCGAAAGATCTCTCCCGAAAAAGCTTTCGAAAGAAGCTTGCAGTCTTGATGTAGCCAAAAAGGGGAGTGTCACGTTACTGTTCGTTAGTGGTGCTAATGAGCCCAATTCCGTCAGCTGGGGTATGGCCCATTCCCAACAGTTGAGGAGACGGTGAGAGAATGCCAAAAGGGAGGAATTACTTTTTGTCATAAGTCACCCACTCCCGGTCTCTAGTCCAGGGATGGTCAAAATATGGTCCCCAGGCCGGATGTGGCCCCCAAGAGCCTCAGCCGGCTGTCTGCCTGCCCCACCCCCTCGCTACATGCCAAAAAGCCTTCTGCGGGGCCGTGTGTGTGTGTCTGAAAGCTGGGAGCCCAGGGGGAGTGGGAAGAGGCTTCTTACACCGCCCCCGTCCCCCGTAGTTCCCTTTGGGCAGTTTCCAGCCAATAGCAGCTGCCTGTTTGCAGCATGTGACGTGCCCTTCCGTCCTCGGCTCCTGGGCTCACAGCGTTTTGGTCAGGGCAACAAACAAGGCCCCTGCAGCTGCTCTGAGCACGTACAGGGGCATGGAAGACAGGGACCCTGCTGGGCCACTGGCCGAGAGCCACCCAGGAAAGGTCCATCAGTCACAGCCTGCCTCTGGCACCCCAACCCCCCCCTTTACCCCATGTAACCCAAACCTGCACCCCTGCTTCAGCCCTCATACCGTCCCCGACACTGCACCCCCTCCTACGTCCCTTCTCAGGTCACAGCCCCCTCCCAGACCCTGCGCCCCCCACTCCACTCCTGCCCCATCCCATGCATTGTCACTGGGAAGACGGACCTGCCTGCCCTACATGCTTTGCTAGATCTCTGTGACGCTCGGTACCCTGTGCTCACTGCTTGTACAAGGCTGGGATATCTTTGGTACAGAGCAAGCCTGCTGGGGTGTCCTATAGAAACTCGTATTTCGCTGATCATTATTGTCCTGGTGAGATCTGTGGGGCAGCGTTGTACGCAGAGTTACACCAGTTCCCTGGCGGACGTTACCGAGGCAGATTTCAGATCTGGGGGAGCAGCTCCAACCAGTCCCTCAGAGTCAGAAAGAAACCGATGCTTCGGCCAGGAAAATCAGATGGAGGATCACCTGGCGGAACGGCCGTGCTTTGGGACAGCAAAAGGTGTGAGCAAGAAATTGGCAATTGGGCTGGAGGATCCTGTGTAAACAGACTGGCTGCTGCCTGAATCCCAGCTGGGGATGGTTCTCAGACATCAGCAACAGAGGACACCCCTCCCTTTTTTCCCCCATCCCTACTCGCAGCATTAATCACATGTGATGAAGCATCATTACCCGAGGGGCGTGGTCCTGGCTGAAGACCCCAGCCGGAGTGGTGAGAACCTTATGGTTCACTGAGCTCCCCTTTGGAAGAACCCCAGAAAGTACCCTAGACTGGGCTGGGATTCTGGTAGGGGATAAGAGAGGAGTCCTGTCCCCTGGCTGACCCAGGGCATCATGATGGTGTTGAGGGTCCTCAGCTGCCCTCTCGCATCCAGCCCGTCCAAGACGACACAGCAGCGGGGGCGCTTTGCCATCAACCCTTTTTATTTGCAACCTGTTCATTTGCCAAGCAGAATTTCCCATCGCAGGATCTGGCGACGCGTCAGGAAAAGTTTTCACACAAAACTGATTTTAATAATTACCGCCCACCGCAACATTAATCAGCGTTATGCAAATCACCATTGCTGCGTTTCTCTAGCGCCTGCCATCCCAGCAGCCCCACACGCTTCCCAAAAGGGGACAATAGCCCCTTGGCACAGGCATTAGCACAGAGATGCAGGGCCCAGATGGAGCCGAATCCCTGTGGCACAGACCTGGCATGGCGATGCAGGACAACACGGAGCTCTGCGTGTCACAGCAGGACTTCCCGGTTGGCCCCTTTAGCTTCTGCAGAATTGAGGATCCATTCTAGGCCGACTGAGCCCCCAGCCTTTCTGGACGAGAAGCTCCTATCCAGAGTGGGAGCCGGAGCTGGGCTGGATCTGCTGCAGATCGCCAGGGCTCACCCTCAGCTCCCGCGAGTGGGCAGAGCTCTGCCCCCATGGGGCTTTGGCTGCACCAAAATGGGGATAGGATGGGGGGCTAATTGAAGACAAGATCTGAAGAGCAGCAGGTGGGAGGAGAGGGAAGTGCGAGGGGCTGGCTGATACTGAGAAGCTCATGCAGATACGCAGGCTCCAGGACCGTTCAATTAAAAGGTTTATTGGAATTGCTGCCTATACCCCCCCCCTCCCCCGCTCACAAGCTATTGCAGCTTCTCCTAAGCAGTGTGTTTCCCTCACCCGTTTCTTTTGGGCTTTTTCTCTGGTGGCTCTTTCTCCAGACAGGCATCCTTTACCCAGTTTGGAAGGTCTCCGCACAATTTCTTGGTGATCGCTGATAAAACTTCCTTTGCCTTTGAGGTGCCTTCATTGCAATCATCTTTAAAAATCTCGATGGCTTGATTATTCCCATACAGCTCCTTTAACTTTTGGCTCAGCTGCGTCACTGTCATGTGCTCCAGGATGCTGTCTGGCCTGTTCTCCCCCAGGAAGGCGAAGGCAAATTTCTCGTTATTGAGTGGTTGATTGCAGCAAACGGCTGTCCAGATGTGGCTGGGCACCACCACCCTCTCCGCATCTCGCGTGATTCCTCTTCTTTTGTCGTCATCCTCTCTGGGGATTTTATGCTGGTTGTTGAGCACCACCACCCTCTCCGCATCTAGCACGATTCCTCTTCTTTTGTCGTCATCCTCCCTGGGGATTTTATGCTGGTTGTTGGGCACCACTCCGGTCACGAGAAAGGCGTTCTCTTCTGGGTCAGGGCAGTCCTGTGTTAACTGCGCCTTAAGATGTTTTTCCAGCTCCAACCATCTGACCCGGTTGAAGCAGGGGTCCATGGGAACCACATTGGTGAGGGTGAAGGTGGCTGCTCGACCATCACACTGGAAGGCATACGGGTTCAGGTGTCCCCGGTCATAGCCTGTTTTTTTATAATCTTCATTGATGGCTTGGGTTTTTTTCAGGGTTTCAGATCTTCCATTTTCCTCTTCCATGTTTTTGCTACGTGAACGAGACAGCAGCTGGAAATAGAAAAAGCCAGAGGTTCTTTACAGTTAGCTTATATAAAAATGTCCATGACACAAATTCAGAGTAGCTGGGAACCAAAAGCAAAATCAGTCTCTCTGTCTCTGGACTTTGTATTGGTATTGTCAATCTCTGAATCCCCTTCTTCTCCTGTTATATCTCTTTAACAGGAGAAGTGCTCAGCAGATGACTTAATGCACTGGCCAGTTCTCCCAGCATCATGGATGAAGCTTGTGTGTCTAATTCTGGAGGTTGCAGAGAAAAGTTTGAAAACGCAACTGGAATGTGCCTGACACAAGGACACCTGCCCGAGTGTGCAGTGAGCCTGCGAGGATAGTTCCAAGCCTGGCCGTTGTCCCACACAGGGCAAAGGGAGTTAATACCAGAGGGCCACTCCCTGCAGGGGTCTCTGTGTGTGGCCAGAGAGCAGTGAGTCTGGCCCCCCACCAGAGCAGAGACACCCTGGCTGCCAGGTGACTCCTGCAGGCCCTCAGCAACCCCCCACCTCTCTGAGTTCAAAAGGGGACCCTGCTTCTCCTGAAAGGGGCCCTGCTGCTGCTCATGGAAGGAAGATGGGAGCCCCAGGACCAAAGTTCCCTGTAATCTTTTCCATCCACGTGCAGAATAAATTTTATGTGCACCGCAGTATGTGCACCACCAGTAGAAACACAAACCTGGCTGAGGGCGCACTGCTACTCAGTTGGGTGGCATTTAAATGTATCTTGAGAGATTGAACAAGTGCACAGCTTACAGGGGACACTACCCAGGGCCCCATACCTAGAGGGTGGGAAGGGTCCCTGTGCCACCCCCATTCCAGGAGAACTGCGATACTTGGCCGGAGCCACAAGAGCTCCATGCCATGGGGCTGAGATGAGACCCAGAGAGATTCAGGCAGGAGACAGACTGACCTGCGGCTCCACCTTCCATGTGATGAAGCTAGTTTATGTTTAGCTAGAAGCCATCTTGTATAACAGAAACCATTTCAGCTTTTTGTCTTTGCACGTAGGCCAGAGTGAACTTTCTATCACCCCATGCGCCAGGCCAAGACAGATGTGCTATTGGAATGTGTTAATTGGGCTGGTTCAGAGAGGAGAGGTACTCCCTCGTACCTGTCCGCCATCATGTTGATAAGGCTTTGTTTTTCCTAGTCTAATTGATTATTTCTGTAATTGGATGCCCTGACGTCAGACTGTTTGGTTAAGGGTATAAAGATACTAGGATTGATTGTATTAGGTAGCCTTACTGGGCCCGGCTTTGCTGTGACCACGTTTGGCTCACTTTGCTTTTATTGGCCAATAAAACTGTCTGTTTAGCCGCGTAAACTGAGTGAAGCGTTTGCTTCGACACATGTTTTTGAGATTGTGTCTTGGCACGTCGTTGGATCCAGCGTGTACGCCGACCAGACCGGGATCCGGCTGCGCTTGTCGTAGAAGGTTGCAAAATAAGGTTCCTCGTCATATGTCTGGCAAATGTTGGCTGTGTTTCCCATGCTAAACCCTTGGGGCGCCTTTCCTTCATAGAAAAATTTTCTGCATTGAGTGAAATCGTTGACGACTTCAGCCCGTCCCAACCCAGCGCAGAGCGTGGCGAAGCCCAGCAGTGTCAGGGGCCCCATGGCTCACGGCGTGTCAGAGCCGGTCCCTTTGCAGGTGCTACTTATATCGGCCCTCAAAGGGCCACCTCCTCCCAACCATCCTGGGCTGAGTCATCTTTGGGCTCCTTGCCAGGGCCTTCCTAAGAACTGGGCTGTGCCGGGCAGTCATGGCCCTGAATAGGGGCAAGGCAGGTCACGAGGGGGCTGAGAGAATTTCTAGGTCCCTGGACAAGGGACCCCAGGTGCTCCCAAGAAACTCTGCAAGCTGCCAGTGCTTGGAAATGGACTGAGGCAGCCCCGAGTCTCTGTCTGTACCTGCTCTAACCACATCCCGGGATGGGGGATTTTAGCCCCCTCCGCCCCTTCCCCTTGCTTTGTATTTGGTCACTTCCCTTGTTATTGGAAGCATGGGCCACATGGCCCAGAACAGGTGGCCCATGTGGTCTGGGGAAGAGCATGTCACCTGGCTGCCCATGAGGGGCTTGTTTGTGTGGCCAAGAACCACACGTCCAGGGATGAGTACCAACCGAGGGGGCACGGAGCTGTGAGTGGGGCATCATGGAGTTTGGGGGATGCGGCGCGTCCCCAAACTTTGTGCCGTGGTGGGGGAGAGGGGAGGCCGTGGTGGACTTGGGGCACCAGAAAATTCTCCCCCTCCCATGGCTGGGGCTGGATTAAGACATTCTGGGGCCTTAAGCTACGTCCCCGTTGCTAAGGGGGTTAAATTTCAATTAATCAGCTAACCGAGTAGTCGATGGAATTTCCATCAAATACTCAATAAGTCAGCAAGGGGCAGGGTGGGGTCCTTGCTATGCTGGCTGTGCCTCTGCCTTTGAAATATAGCAAGAGCCCTGCAGGCAACCTGGGGCGAGTGGTCACTCAAGGTAAACAGAGGCAGCAGGTGGGGGGGAAGCAAATAGTTGAATAGTGTCCGATAAGCCTGTGTTTTTCGGATAATCGACTAGTCTCTTACAACCCAACCCATTGCATTACTTTTAAAAAAAAAAAAGACCCACCCCGGACCCAGCACAGAGTTTTTCCAGTCTCAGGGGTGCACTGGGAGGCAAAAGGAGGAGGAAGGAGTGAGTGGGGGGCAGGGCTGTGGAGAAATTGAAGATCCAGAGAAGAGGGGCAAATATCATGAAAGGTCGAGAACATGAGCTAAGAGGGAAGGCTGAAGGAATTGGGCTTGTTTAGTTTGGAAAGGAGAAGGCCGAGAGGGGACAGGAGAGCGGTTTTCAAGTATCTAAGAAGCTGTCACAAGGAGGAGGGAGAAAAATTGTTCCCCTTGGTCTCTGAGGACAGGACAAGCAGCAATGGGCTGAAACTGCAGCAAGGGAGGTTGAGGCTGGACATGAGGAAAAACTTCCTACCTGTCAGGATGGTGAAACATATTTAAGAGCAGGTTGGATAGACAAACAGACAAGCAAAGCAAGACCATTCAGTTGCATGCGGGGCCTCATTTTGCGTGGCTGGCAGCATTTGTTTGCTGTCTCTCGCTCCTGGGAGATGGATTTCTGAGCATGCCCTGGGTTTCTGCTTGTCCACATTCTTGAAGTGCTTGTTTGCACTTATCTAAATAAATTGTCCTAAAAGCCTTGCAAGATAAAGATACTGAAACAGGTGATTAACAGCCCTTGGTTTAGCTGAGGGGCGGGTGTGATAAAGGAGGGAGAAAAATTGTTCCCCTTGGTCTCTGAGGACAGGACAAGCAGCAATGGGCTGAAACTGCAGCAAGGGAGGTTGAGGCTGGACATGAGGAAAAACTTCCTACCTGTCAGGATGGTGAAACATATTTAAGAGCAGGTTGGATAGACAAACAGACAAGCAAAGCAAGACCATTCAGTTGCATGCGGGGCCTCATTTTGCGTGGCTGGCAGCATTTGTTTGCTGTCTCTCGCTCCTGGGAGATGGATTTCTGAGCATGCCCTGGGTTTCTGCTTGTCCACATTCTTGAAGTGCTTGTTTGCACTTATCTAAATAAATTGTCCTAAAAGCCTTGCAAGATAAAGATACTGAAACAGGTGATTAACAGCCCTTGGTTTAGCTGAGGGGCGGGTGTGATAATCTAATCTCCTAGGGTATGTCTACACTACAACGTTAATTCGAACTAACTTAGTTAATTAGTTAATTCGAACTAAGCTAATTTGAACTAACGGATCCAGACTAAAAAACTAGTTCGAATTAGTGTTTTGCTAATTCGAACTAGCATGTCCACATTAAGTGGACCCTGAACCGGGCTTAAGGATGGCCGGAAGCAGTGCCGGCAGGGCATCAGAGGAGAACTTAGAGCGTGGAGATGCTGTCTCAGGCTAGCCGAGGACTGTGCTTAAAGGGTCCCGACCCCCACCCAGGACTGACAGTTCTCAGGGGTGCCCCACTTGCAAAGCAGTCCGGGCTTGGATTGCCCGGAGTACCCACACTGGGCACATCACAGCACTCGGCCATCAGCCCGGCTGCACTTGCCGCAGGTTGCCATCTGGGGAGAGG